GGAGTCTTTCTTTTTTTTTAACTTTATTTTATTTTATTTTATTTTTTTTATTTTTAAAGGAAGTTTTTCAAAGGAGCCAAGAACATGTCAGGGCCCTCAAATCTGATATTAATCTTGATACTACTTATGGGAACCTGTTCTCCAGCTTGGCTAAATAAAATTTCTTCATCATGATTTCCTCTATCTTAGGATTTACCAGTTTTGTTCTATAAGTATGACATACACTTCCTTTCCTTCCTTGTCATATCTGTAACTTTTCCTCATCTTTAAGAATAAATCAAAGGAGAGTCTTTTCTGGAAAGCATTTAATTTTCAAGGCAGAGTTAGGCTTTTCCTTTCTGGATTCATATACCTCTCATGTTTCTTTTATTGGCTGTACTACATTGCTATGATTGCTAATTTTTTTTTCTTTTTTGGAAGACGGCAAGCACCCAAGTTCAGGAGGTTTTATTCATTTCAACAAATAAAACAGGCATAGTATCTGACACGGTATATGGAATATAGTAAAAACTTAAAATGTTTGATGAAGGAATGAATTTTTTTTAATGAGTGAATTTTTTTTTTTTAAGATTTTATTTATTTATTTGACAGAGAGAGATCACAAGTAGGCAGAGAGGCAGGCAGAGAGAGAGGAAGGGAAGCAGGCTCCCCGCTGAGCAGAGAGCCCGATGCGGGACTCGATCCCAGGACCCTGAGATCATGACCTGAGCCGAAGGCAGCGGCTTAACCCACTGAGCCACCCAGGCGCCCAATGAGTGAATTTTTAATGAAAATGTTTTATCCTCAACCTAAGAGCAATCAGAAGGACAGTTATAGTTCAGATTCCCAGGAAGTTGTCCATAATGGTTAAGAACCTGGTTCTGTAGTAAGACTACATTGTTTAAAAAAAAAAAAAAAAAGACTACATTGTTTAGCTCTCAACTCTGTCCTTTGCTAGCTATATAATCTCCATATCTCTTTTTTAAATCTATAAAGTAGGATAATACTGGAACCTATGTTACAGACTTGGTGTGAACTGAATGAACTAGAACTTGTGAAGAGTGTAGAATAGTGCCTCAAATATAGTAAAAACTAAATGTATATTATCTTTTAAAATTGTTATATTGAGTCTATTTTCTGATTTTTTTTTTTTAAGTGGTAAAGAGAATTGGAATTAGCTTTCATCTTTCTTTTCCCAACATTGGCACATTTTGATGACAGACTACTTGGCACCTGAACGTCATGAGCTTCTCTTCCCATGAGCTTTGAGGCTTATTCCCTTGTTTTAGAGGCCAAGCTTGCATTTTCTTCTTCAGTTTATACTCCTCATTTGTGACTGGTCTCAAGGAAACGGGAGTTGTGCTTCTGATCCTTGAGTATTCATTCTTGTCTTGTAGGCCTGCTGCCCTTCAGGGCTCGGCTCTTATATCATCCTTGTTTTATGCAGCTTTCTAAGAATGCCTCCCATGATTGCGCATGAGTCATAATGTACTACCATGGCTTGCTTGTTTATATTTCCCAATAGACTATGCTTTTTCAGACTAGGGATCCTGTCTCACTATTGTTTCCTCAATGCGTATAGTCAGGTCTGATGGTCTAGAAACATGCTAAAATCTTAAGACATGTTCATAGCATTAAATGCTTATTACATTTTGCTTTTTAAGACTTAAAAAAAATTCTTCAGTTAAAATGGCTTCTCTGTAGTTCCTTTTGTAGCTGTGGCAAATGTAGCGCGCTAAGGTTTTTTTCCAATCATTTGTTTATTTGATAGAAATTGATTAGACATTTATTCATTGTAGGCTAGACAAAATACTGTGAGAAAAACAAATATAATACCAAGCATGAGCCTTAATTAGGTAGTTCACAGATTAGTGAGAGGGACGAAGCACAAATGAGTAACGACATAAATCAAGAACAATGTAAACGACGTGTCCTAAATGAAGAGTAAAGAGAGAATGTGGCATGAGTTCATAGATGGAAGAGTGGTGTCCTGGCCATTATTTTAATAACCAGCTGTCAGAATAAAATCCTTGATGTGCAGCATTTGCCAATTTTGTGGTATAAATACTCCCACCATGGTTAATTTCAGACTATAGCTTGATGTCCCTAAAGAAAAGTTGGGGAAAGATGTCCATATTAGATCTTGCTAGCCACTGTGGGCTGACTCCAGCACACTCTGGATGGGAGAGATGGTTACAGACAGGTATGGTCTGGGTCGACTTCATGGAGGAGGTGAAAACTGAAATAGTCTTAAAGTTGCCATAAAAATTAGATGACTAGGGGCGCCTGGGTGGCTCAGTGGGTTAAAGCCTCTGCGTTTGGCTCAGGTCATGATCCCAGGGTCCTGGGATCGAGCCCTGCATCGGGCTCTCCACTCAGCAGGTAACCTGTTTCCTCCTCTCTCTCTGCCTGCCTCTCTGCCTACTTGTGATCTTTGTCTGTCAAATAAATAAATAAAATCTTAAAAAAAAATTAGGTGACTAAAGGACAAGCATGTTCCGGGTTTGGAGAACGATATAAGCAATGCCTTGAAGCAAGAAAGAATGTGGAATATTTAGGCAAATATACTCAGCACGCAGTGGGTACCTAATAAATACATGTGTGAAGAGCAGAATAGTGGTGAATTGGCCATCTGACTGAGAAGAGTCTTGAGAGGAAAGTTCACGTGCTACGGTATTATGTGGCAATCCATGGTCTCTAGCCTTCCTAATTGTGCTTTTACTCCATACCTAGAATCTTCCTCAGCTTGGCTCTGTGGGCTGAGTGAGAAACTACTTGGTCATTTGTTTATTATTTTTCAGTTATTTTAATAACCATACAGATATCTAATTGTAAGATAGAATTAGCAGAGAATTCTAAGAGAGTAGAAAATTTTAATTTTCTAGAGTGACAGAGTCACTTAAAATCTATACATCTGCATAATGGCTTTATCTCTGTCAAACAAACATGCTTCTACACACTGAATTCAATTGTACTATTTTCTATAAAGACAGATAAAGGCAAGCTAGCTAAAGATCAACTTTTTTTTTTCTTATCTGTTATATAAATATGGAATTCTGTGGATTAGCAGGTGTCAGCAAACTTTTTCTATAAAAGGCCAGAAACTAAATATTTTCCACTTTGTGGGCCCCATGGCCTCAGTTGCAACTACCCAGCTCGGCCCTTATAGCATGAAAGCAGCCACAGACAAGTTATAAATGAACGACTGTGGTTTCAATCAATCCTGACTTACAAATAAATCAGAAGACAGACTGGGCCTATAAGCCATAGTGTGCTGATTTCTTGCTTAGAGCATCAAGGTGTCTAGGAATTCTAGAATTCTTTAAAGTTTATGGGACACTAAAGATAAAAAAATAATGCCAAGAATTCACAAGGACAATAGGATGTAAAAATGATTTCATAAAAAGAGTTCAATCTATCTTTTCTGATAAAATGTTTTTTCCAAACCTCCTGCTCCCTCTTTTCCATATGGATATAGGTAATTATGATATCATATTAATATCATAATTTTGGTGTTTATACACTTTCTTAAAAACTGATTTCTGAATGAAACGTGACTTGGGCTGTTACTTAATTGCTATAATATTGGAGTTGTCCTGCAGACAACAACAATGTGCCTAATAATAGTCCATGCTCATGGTTGGTTACTTTTTTATCTGATGTTGTGTCCATGTTCCTCGGGAAATGAGTGAGTAAGAAATGGGGACAATATGAGTAAAACATTTAATTTTCAGTTTCAGTTTCTTTATCTTTAAAACAGGAAAAACAGGGGTACCTGGGTGGTTCAGTAAGTTAAGACTCTGCCCTCGGCTCAGGTCATGATCTCAGGGACCTGGGATCGAGCCCCACACTGGGCTCTCTGCTCAGCAGGGAGCCTGCTTCCCTTCCTTTCTCTCTGCCTGCCTCTCTGCCTACTTGTGATCTTTGTCTGTCAAATAAATAAATAAAACCTTTAAAAAAAATAGGAAAAAAAATTTGTTGTATTTACCACAGAGAAGGAAAGTATTATCTTAATGGCAGATGTAAATCTGTGCCCTTTATACACTGGAGAAAATTACCTAAGAGGAGACAAAAAAGAAAGAAAAAAGAGCCCTACATTCATCTGTCATGATTCAATGCTTTACTTCCTCCTCTCTTCCTGAAGAACTCCAGAAACAGACAGCTGACCTTCCTCCAGGTACTTTCTCTTCTGCTATCATCACCTATGATTAAGTCTAAATTCTTTAAAGGTAAGGCACTGCACATGTAACAAAGAGGAAGAGGGTTAATAAGGGTAAAAGGGCTCCAGGAGAATTGAGGCACATTAAACAAGATGGCTGGGCCATATTGCATCGTGTCTGGAGAGCTAATCGTATAATGCTCAAGCCGATGGTTGAGATCAAAGACCATATCTACTTCTATGTGAAGGTCTGAGATTGGAAAAGAAGAAATAACATTGGCAGAGAGAAAGAAAATGTTTTGAAGAGAGATATAGCAGATCTATATCCTGCTGAGGTGGCCTTAGACCCCTTGGGCCAGCTCTGTGCGCCCACCTCTCTGAAACTACATGCTTGACCCCTGGCCACAGGACCCTGCCACCTTCAGAAGACTGCCCTTAGGCTTGGGAGCCACACAGTCAGTCTGGAATGGACTAGTGCCTGGAAGCTTTACAGCTCCTACCTCAGGGCAACCTGTAGCCAATGACTATTTGATACAGTAATACAAAAACTCAGTTCCCTTGTTTTCAGGCAAGACAAACTGAAGTGTAATTTCATACTCTACCAAAATCTGGCTGAGTCTGGGACATCAACTGAAACTGTACCCTTATTTGGCTTTTCCCCGCTTCTTACTGTGTTTTACCCATTCTCTTACTGGTTTCTCTTTAATAAAACATTTGCATCCAAATCCTTAGTTTCAGGGCTGTTTCTGGGAGAATCTGATCTGAGACAATAGACTACCATAATTTCTTAGCTTTCATGTAATAAAGTCCCCCTACATTTAACACCCACAAGCACATAATTTATGAAAAAGTGTCAACCAACCTGTCAACAAAGGCATGGTGAAGAAGAAAAATAGGATCGTTGGCAGATCCCTGTACCTGAGACATTGTTCCATTCATATAGATGTGCAGGGCATTGTGCATACTGCTTTGAGAGGCATCTGCTATCCCAGTGAGTGGACTAGCAAATCCTGTGTGCAAAAAGAAAATTGGAAAGAAAAAAGTCAGTTTGCATTAATAATTGAAAACCTCAACGCTTATCTCATTTGGTTTGTGACTACACGTGAGATTCTATTGAGATTGCTTATATTTTGGATGCCCACTGCTTATTTAATAAATCTTGGTGGAATGGAAGGCTGTTAATCTAGGTACAGTGGACTGATTAACTGGATGGAGTAAGTGGAGCCAATCGTGTTCCCTCCTCTTGCTTCTGCCCATTATATCTCCTTTAGTTACTTCAAAGTAATAGGACCTTTTTATACTAATCAGCATGGCCAGTCTCCCTTCAGTCTTTAATGGCACTTAGAGCAGATCTTTCCAGCCTGTTATGTATCTCCTTGCTTCCCAGCTCTGGTGGTTACTTTTAATTTTGGGTTCTGGTTCCAGAGAAAACAGAAAATTTGTGACCTTCCGCATCACAATCCAGCGGACATCAGGTCAGATTGTGTTTGATTTCGCAAATTATTCACTTCAAAATTAATCAGAGCTCCATTAAATGGTTCCTTTCATTGTATCAGGAATATTAATCGTGGGAGAATAATGATAATGTGAGCTATTACTTTCTGAATATTAATCATGTAAATGCTTTTTGTGGCATATGTCCTCCAATCTTTGCAGCAACTCTGTCAATTATTTCCATTTTAACTTTGATCAACTAAGCTTCAAGACCTGAGCTCTGGTTATTTTGTGTTCTCTTTCACACAGTCCCTAGGAAGAGGAAGAAGAAGGTAGCATTTCAGAGTCCATTCAGGCAAAACATAAAACATAAGTAGAACTCAGATTCAGAACCAGATAAGGAAGTCCCATTTACCAAGCTAAATTATAAGCAGCAACCTCGTTGGGGGATGCCCTTGGCCTAGGGCATATTATTAAATCTCAGAATTTAGAAATATCAAACAGAAACTGGAAGATGATGATTATAAAGGTAGGATATACACAGTGAAGGCACTTTGGGGCAGGGGAGGTCTAGCTAATTTTATGCAATTAGGATTATTTTGTTGTCAACCCGTTCATTTTTAAAGGGGCAGATCTTGACTTCTACATTTGATGCGTTGTGCTCGTCCACCATTGTGGCTCACAGTATTTCTGTCCCTCGGTCTGTGATTTTTTTCCTCTTCTTTTGAACCTTCTATGCTCATTCTCAGAAACCATGCTAAGCTTTGCTCCTACTAGGAGCTTAGCTTAAGAACATACACTTCCCTCCCCTCTCATTTATGAAACTTTTATGGTTATATACATAAGGTTTTTACTGTACGCAGAGATTTTTCTAAGAGCTTGACATGATTTTTCATATACCCTTCAGAGTGATCCTACAAATTAGGTACCCTTATTACCTCCATCACATCAGTTTGAAAAAGGGGGCTTAGAGAAGTCAGGTAACATATGTAAGATTTAAAAATAAATAAGAAAAATTAAGATTTAAAAATTAAATTACACAAGTAACTTGCAAGATTTAAAAATAAGAGATATTAGGAGGAGTCAAGATGGTGGAGAAGTAGCAGGCTGAGACTACTTCAGGTTGCGGGAGATCAGCTAGATAGCTTATCTAAAGATTGCAAACACCTACAAATCCAACGGGAGATCGAAGAGAAGAAGAACAGCAATTCTAGAAACAGAAAATCAACCATTTTCTGAAAGGTAGGACTGGTGGAGAAGTGAATCCAAAGCGACGGGAAGATAGACCGCAGGGGGAGGGGCCGGCTCCCGGCAAGCGGCAGAGCAACGGAGCACAACATCAGGACTTTTAAAAGTCTGTTCCGCTGAGGGACATCACTCCAGAGGCTTAACCGGGGTGAAGCCCACGCGGGGTCAGCGTGGCCTCAGGTCCCGCAGGGTCACAAAGGATCGGGGGTGTCTGAGTGTCACAGAGCTTACAGGTATTAGAACGGGGAAGCCGGCTACAGAGACAGAGCCAAGGAGTGAGCTCACAGCTCAGGTTTACCTTGAACTGCTCGCAGGCTCAGTCAGCTCGGAGCGCGGCCGGAGGCCAGGGTGACGGGAGCAATTGGGCACTGTTCTCTGAGGGCGCACTGAGGAGTGGGGCCCCGGGCTCTCGGCTCCTCCGGGCCGGAGACTGGGAGGCCGCCATCTTCATTCCCGTCCTCCGGAACTCTACGGAGTGCGCATAGGGAACAAAAGCTCCCAAAAGCAAACCCGAGCGGATTACTCAGCCTGGCCCCTGGTAAGGGCGGTGCGACTCCGCCTGGGGCAAAGACACTTGAGAATCACTACAACAGGCCCCTCCCCAGAAGATCAACAAGAAACCCAGCCAGGACCAAGTTCACCTACCAAGGAGTGCAGTTTCAATACCAAGGAGAGCAGCGGAATTCCAGAGGAGGAGAAAGCAAAGTACGGAACTCATGGCTTTCTCCCCATGATTCTTTAGCCTTGCAGTTAATTTAATTTTTTTTCTTTTTCAATTTTTTTTCTCTTCTTCTGCTAAATTTTTTTAACTTTTACCCTTTTCTTTTTTAACGTTTTTTAACTAGTTTATCTAATATATATATATTTTTTCCGTTTTATATTTTTCATTATTGGTTTTCTTTTTTTATTTGTTTCTTTTTTCTTTTTTCTTTTTTTTTCTTTTTTTCTTTCTGAACCTCTTTATATCCCCTTTCCCCCTCCCTCATGATTTGGGATCTCGTCTGATTTGGCTAAAGCATATTTTCCTGGGGTTGTTGCCACGCTTTTAGTATTTTACTTGTTCCTTCATATACTCTTATCTGGACAAAATGACAAGGCGTAAAAATTCACCACAAAAAAAGAACAAGAGGCAGTACCAAAGGTTAGGGACCTAATCAATACAGACATTGGTAATATGTCAGATCTAGAGTTCAGAATGACGATTCTCAAGGTTCTAGCCAGGCTCGAAAAAGGCATGGAAGATATTAGAGAAACCCTCTCAGGAGATATAAAAGCCCTTTCTGGAGAAATAAAAGAACTAAAATCTAATCAAGTTGAAATAAAAAAAGCTATTAATGAGGTGCAATCAAAAATGGAGGCTCTCACTGCTAGGATAAATGAGGCAGAAGAAAGAATTAGCGATATAGAAGACCAAATGACAGAGAATAAAGAAGCTGAGCAAAAGAGGGACAAACAGCTACTGGACCACGAGGGCAGAATTCGAGAGATAAGTGACACCATAAGATGAAACAACATTAGAATAATTGGGATTCCAGAAGAAGAGGAAACAGAGAGGGGAGCAGAAGGTATATTGGAGAGAATTATTGGAGAGAATTTCCCCAATATGGCAAAGGGAACAAGCATCAAAATCCAGGAGGTTCAGAGAACCCCCCTCAAAATCAATAAGAATAGGTCCACACCCCATCACCTAATAGAAAAATTTACAAGTCTTAGTGACAAAGAGAAAATCCTGAAATCAGCCCGGGAAAAGAAGTCTGTAACATACAATGGTAAAAATATTAGATTGGCAGCAGACTTATCCACAGAGGCCTGGCAGGCCAGAAAGAGCTGGCATGATATATTCAGAGTACTAAATGAGAAAAACATGCAGCCAAGAATACTATATCCAGCTAGGCTATCATTGAAAATAGAAGGAGAGATTAAAAGCTTCCAGGACAAACAAAAACTGAAAGAATTTGCAAACACCAAGCCAGCTCTACAGGAAATATTGAAAGGGGTCCTCTAAGCAAAGAGAGACCCTAAAACTAGTAGATCAGAAAGGAACAGAAACAATATACAGTAACAGTCACCTTACAGGCAATACAATGGCACTAAATTCATATCTCTCAGTAGTTACCCTGAATGTTAATGGGCTAAATGCCCCAATCAAAAGACACAGGGTATCAGAATGGATAAAAAAACAAAACCCATCTATATGTTGTCTACAAGAAACTCATTTTAAACCCGAAGACACCTTCAGATTTAAAGTGAGGGGGTGGAAAAGAATTTACCATGCTAATGGACATCAGAAGAAAGCAGGAGTGGCAATCCTCATATCAGATCAATTAGATTTTAAGCCAAAGACTATAATAAGAGATGAGGAAGGACACTATATCATACTCAAAGGATCTGTCCAACAAGAAGATCTAACAATTGTAAATATCTATGCCCCTAACGTGGGAGTAGCCAACTATATAAACCAATTAATAACAGAATCAAAGAAACACATGAACAATAATACAATAATAGTAGGGGACTTTAACACTCCTCTCACTGAAAGGGACAGATCATCCAAGCAAAAGATCAACAAGGAAATAAAGGCCTTAAATGACACACTGGACCAGATGGATATCACAGATCTATTCAGAACATTTCATCCCAAAGCAACAGAATTCACATTCTTCTCTAGTGCCCATGGAACATTCTCCAGAATAGATCACATCCTCGGTCCTAAATCAGGTCTCAACCGGTATCAAAAGATTGGGATCATTCCCTGCATATTTTCAGACCACAATGCTCTGAAGCTAGAACTCAATCACAAGAGGAAATTTGGAAAGAACCCAAATACATGGAGACTAAACAGCATCCTTCTAAAGAATGAATGGGTCAACCAGGAAATTAAAGGAGAATTGAAAAAAGTCATGGAAACAAATGATAATGAAAATACAATGGTTCAAAATCTGTCGGACACAACAAAGGCAGTCCTGAGAGGAAAATATATAGCGGTACAAGCCTTTCTCAAGAAACAATAAAGGTCTCAGGTACACAACCTAACCCTACACCTAAAGGAGCTGGAGAAAGAACAAGAAAGAAACCCTAAATCCAGCAGGAGAAGAGAAATCATAAAGATCAGAGCAGAAATCAATGAAATAGAAACCAAAAAAACAATAGAACAAATCAACGAAACTACGAGCTGGTTCTTTGAAAGAATTAATAAGATTGATAAACCCCTGGCCAGACTTATCAAAAAGAAAAGAGAAAGGACCCAAATCAATAAAATCATGAATGAAAGAGGAGAGATCACAACGAACACCAAAGAAATACAGACAATCATAAGAACATATTATGA